CTTCCGAGTTTCCCCAGGGAATTTGGCAATAACAAATGCTGAAAAGAGAAGACAATAGACAATTAAGAAACTCGCCTTAAACTCCATATTTACTTAATACTACTTAATTATACTTCATGTTCACATAATTTTAGAAAATTTCACAAAGAGAAATCAACAACAAAAAAGTTAAATCATTTAAATATATTGAGCACAGGGACCAATGACTATGTTTATTGGAAACTGCGAAATATTGCTGCTGCGAAATAATGTAAAACAAGGCATTTCGTCAATTTGCAATGCATTAAAGGGATCATGAAACAAGTTTACTGTGGAGACAGTCTGGAGCTCGTTACGTTTATTTCTTTTACCTTATCACAAGTACGAGAAAACACACCGTGATCCCTCAAAATGTTGCAAGTGCGCTGCATGATCAGAAAGGAAAAAAAGGTCCATTTTTCATCACGCAGCTTATGCTGGCCACATGAACTACTGGCATGGCGCCAATAGTGGTTGAGTTTGCGAGTTGAGCAGGTGTCCGCCCAATTTGAAGTTAAGGTTTTTATAAATGTTGTCATTCACTCATTTGGCCCCCCATCGTGTCACACGCACATTATCTAGAAAGAGCTTTAAAGGATGAGGGGCCGCCCAAACTTGAGTCTATTTACTTTTTTAAATAAAACTAGTGCACCTTGGCAAAAATTGTCTTCTGATCTTCACTGCACATGCGACGGTGAGCCACTGCCACACTTACTTGGCCGAAGTGTAAAGATTATTTTATAACCCCTTTAAAAGCATGCAAACATAACATTCTTTGCAACAGGGACTCTCAAACTTTCTGATATCAGCGAACAAAAATTTATTGTTATTGTTAGCCGAGGAGCCCCTTCCACTCTTGGCATTGTTGCAATTGAGTGTAAAACAATGGTGTAGGGAACGATTGAGGAAGTTCAGGTGCTGAGAGAACCCTAAGGATACTGTACTAGGAACCCTGTTCGAGAACCCGTGCTTCAGGATATTTGGCTGGAAAGTCGGAGATAGCGTAGGCTAGACAACAATTTTAAACACACAGCTGACCACATTTTTTTTAAATTTTGATTCTGACATCTATTTTATATTATAATTCAGGGTTTACTGATGTAAAACCAACTGAGGCCATACTGTACCAAACAATTACTTTAAAAACAACTGAACAAACTAAAGGTTTTGAAAGATTCAGCAGCCTAAAGCTGGGGTAAACAGTCAGCTGTCTTCAGAAAATTGTACACAAAAGTAAACAATACTGAAGGTTCGTTATGTTTAATCGCTGATATACATCGGCAATGAAAATTAAGCAGAAGGAGCATAAGAGTGAGTTTTAATCTAGGCAAAAATTAAAGTATGCTAGAACTGGGGCACATTATTGGAAACCAGAGGTGTAGCGCAAGACGTAATGACACAAAAAGACAAATACCTCAACATAAGCAAAAAAAGACATTCATGAGCACCGAGACACAAGTCCAATGCTGACCAGACAAAAGCTCACCGACAGAAGGTCACCGAACAAAAGCTAACACGTCTTTTTTCGCAGGCCCAGGCAATAGCTCACCTTTTTTTTGGCACCCGGTGAATTATGAGCTGGGCCAAAGTACGGACGCAATGGACATTGCACTATTCTTAGAAGAAGTGGTACCACATCTGATGCAAAGGTGTCGACAGGTAAGTCATAACAGGCACAGAAGCTACGATTTGGGACCAAAGTTTAGGTCACCAAACTGAGTGGAGCTGAAGCTGATAAGATCAGTCTGGGTTGACTCAAGGTATGCCAGAATCGTCTGGAAAATATTTGCAAGGGGTTCCAGGGACACCAAGGTCTACCAAGACTGCTGGAGACAGCCTGTACGGGACTGAAATTGCTTCTAACCAATCAATAAACTTGTTTCCACTCTTATGAACAAACCATGTGCCTATCAGATTTAATTCATTGTTGTGTATTAGTGTCGCACGCATGCACCTAAGTTGTCTGCACTCGTGTTAGGACCAACACGAAAGTTTCACCTGGTGAGCTTTTGACCGGTAAGCTTCTGTCCGGTGAGGTTTTGTCGAGGATTTAAGTACAATATATGTCAAGAGTAGACTTAGCATTTGTTCTTGTGAAGTTTGATTGCAATAGTGCCTTGCCATTTCTTCTTTACGGCAATTTACTCCCCTATCAAGTCCTTAACTCCCTCTTTAGGAAGCTTTCCCTTCATTGCCGACCCAGTAAGGCAGCAGTTTGTCAGGGCCTCAGTTCCAAATACCATGACCGCGAGTTCCTGAACGGAAATGGATGGCTGCTTCGTGTCAACATGCTTCAACTGCGCTTCAGGAACCGCAATGTCTTCAAAGGATATCTGAAACGTAAAAATAGAACCAAATACGGTGATTACATCCCTATGAATGCCTTTTAGATGAGCGCATGTGCACGAATGGCTGTGACAGGCTGGTGGTAAGGAAGTGTTTGATGAACAGAGCTAGCTAATAGTAAAGAGGGTAATTAGGCTAGTTTGTTAATTGTATTAGAGGTTTAAAGGCCCCAAAAATAACGACGAAGACGAAGGTAAACAATACAAGGTACATTTGCAACTGTTGTTTATTTGGAAAGAACATTTACTATATGGTCTATTGTTCAGCCTAGTCACCATCACTTCGGCGCAAAGTATTTTTGTTTAATACGATCGATTGACGCCTCACTTCCACACACTTTTCCTTTTTCCCAAATTTCATATGAATCATGCAGTTCTCTGCTTGTTTTGTCATTGTATCTGCGACAATCTTAACATAATGCAATACCGGGGAACAGAGGCATCTGCTGCAGTGAATGGCGAGGTAGCCAGACAGGCTGGCTCGCGTGGCAGCCACGTGCTCACGGGCACGGTCATTCACAAACCTGCCCATCTGGCCCATACACACTGCACCTCACATTATTGGTATCTGATACACACCGCCCAAGGCACACCCAGCAATTTTATCCTTGTGTTTTATGCTGCAAGGCTAAGACGGCGGGGCTTGGGCCTGTTGATTCTGTGGCAGAGTCGAGCCATCTTATTGTGTGCCTAGAACATCACAGTAATCCGGTACCGCTGACCGGCTTCCTTGAATTGTGTGACACTGAGTGCAAGTATGATACCACATCTGGTCTCACATTGGGCCTCTCACGAGCAGGTTTGTTTATGGCTCAACGTTTTTAACAGGCTTTTGGCGACCTGAATTATACACATCTGGAGGTAGCTTGCTTCTGCATAAACAAACCCACTCGTGAGAGGTCCAACGTAAGACTAGCTGTGATACCATACACTCAGTGTCACACAATTAAGGGAAGTCGGTCAGCGCTATCGCATTCCTGTGGTGTTCCTGGCACCCAATAAGATGGCTCGGTTCTGCCACAGACTCAACAGCCCGGAGCAGCCGTCTGAGCCTTGCTGCATAAAACACAAGAATAAATTTGTTGAGTGTACCTTAGGCATTGTGTATCAGATACCACTATTGTGAGGAGCAGTGTATAGTGGCCAAATGGGCAGATGTATGAATGAACGTGCCACGCGAGCTAGCCTGTCTGGCCACCTCGCCATTCACTGCAGTAGATGCCCCTGTTCCTTGGTATTGCACAATGTTTTAAGATTCTTGCCAGATGCATTGACAAAACAAGCAGAGAACTGCATGAGGATTATGATATTTAGGAAAAAGGAAAAGGGTGTGTAAGTGAGGCATCAATCGCACTATTAAACAAAAATGCTTTGCGCGACGTGATGATGACAAGGCTGGCCGAAGGGGCCTATATAGTAAATTTTCTTTCCAAATAAACAGCAGTTGCGAGTGTACCAAGGCTAATAGTTATCAATAGTATTGATTGCTATTAGCTATATCCCCAACATCCATGCAAGTGTCCCTTTAAGAGAACTGGCACATGGACTGTAGTATGTGACTCCAACTATAATTACGCTTGTCCACTCTGTGATTGCAGCCTCCGGAAGTTCTGAATTGGCAATCTTGCAGCATGCAGCAGTCGACTGGGGAAGTATTATCGAAGCTGAAGAAAACACCCGCTGTCGAGCATATTCCAGGCTTGATCTGCGTTGTTTATTGAATCATTTTCCCGGGTTTTCTTTATTTTGGAAATGCTAGTCCTTAAAGGCAACGCCCAGAAATTTTTAAGAAACTTCTAAACATTATGCAATCGAGCATGAAATGTGTCCCCACAGTGGATCCAGTAAAACCCCGATTATGCGTTACCGGTTTACGCACGACTGGACTTGTCAGCAGAAACTCACTGATTTCTTCTGAAGTTTCAAGGTGATAACAACGATTGATTGGCACCTCTATTACACAATTTCTAGGTTACATTCGTATTTGTATGAGGGTTCTAGCTTCTTCAGATCCCAGCAGATTATCAGCTTAAAGCCTATTTAAGAGTTCTGCATATCTAGTATTATGAGGCTGAGCACCGTAATTGTTGTTTTTTTGGATTATACAACGTTTCCGCGCAGTCTCCTAAAATTCATATAATCGAAGCACCCCTATATCCTCCAGCTTTGAAAAACGCCTCACCCGATTGAATGCTGCGCGCTCTAAAGAGGCTCAATGAGAACTTCCGGTGGCCGCATTCGTGGAGCGCGTTAGCATCACTCGGAAAATCATCGAAAGGCAGTGCTGAACCTAATACACTATTTCCATCCAGTTCCCAGTATTCATAAGGCCTGTGTAGAGGCAATGAGGGATATATCTCAGTTGGAGAAATTGTTCCCTGGGTTCTAACAGAATGGACCTTTTCCGAGAAGTGTTCTGCGCACGCGCGAGCGCCCGATGCCAAGCGGCGGAAGTCAGCACTACAAATCAAGGAAATTCGGAAGGAGGCTGTGAATTAGCAAGTAGAACACGTAATTGCAACATATATATAATTATGTTACACACAAAAAAAAGCGGATGGAAAGAAAAATACGACGTTTGGGTGGACGCCTCGGATTTAAAGTCGCGTTGGTCGCGCGACCAGTCAACGACTCGGTAGGGAAAAAGTACCTAGAATGGCGGCTGTACCTCTAATCGCTGTAGTCGTCAGCTGTGCAACCTGTTTTTGGTTTTGCGGTTTTGCGTGAACTGCGCGTCATGTTGTCAAACCACCCTACCTAAGGTATGCCAACAAACAACGTGGCCGTTGACTGTCGTAATTTTCACCGGCTTCGCTTCGATTCGAGCGGCTTGGATTAGAGAGTGCTCCCGCCTGACGCGGGTTAGACACTTCACAACAGGCAGAGGTAGGTCGTTTTCACCGTCCCTCGGAAAAGCATCGGTACCATAACATTACCGCTTTATCACAGTGTCACCGTCGCAGGACGAGAGCCACTCCGACAACGTTCTCCGACCACGGCCGCTTGATTCACCGTCGGGCCCATCGAGGGGCCGCGCTCCGACATACAACTCCGGCTACGTGGCTCCTCGGGCGCTACGAACGACATCGTATGAGTAGGGTAGGTAGTAAGTTCCACTTCGTAATCACTCTTTATTTTGACCTGTGCTAACTTGAGGATCGTGCTCGAAAGACACAGTCGTCGATACGGGCGTTGGTTTTGTAGTACTTGTTTTCTTTTGGAACGACGGATGATAGGCGTCGGAGGACAGGGTCAGTGCACAGTGTGGTGAGCCATCTCACTGCACGAATGCATATTAGCCCAGTGAAAATCCTTGATCGTGATACGTTTTATATGGGCACTTTAAACAGCACTTTGGCATGAAATTGTTTAGATAAATTAATCTGGTGTTCGCCTTTCTGCGTTTTCTTTCTAGTGTGCAAGATATGTGACTCCTATGAACCCTAATCCAGAGAGTTACGAACGGGAACAATATAATAGGGAGCAACTGATCTGGCTTGTTGCTACGTTTATGGCCCCCACAATCCTTATAAGTTCTCAACCTGTCAAACTGGACGTAGACTGGGAGGTAAACTTTGCACCTTGAAGTTCGAACCTTTGCTTGGACAACAGCTCGCTCAAAACTAGTAGGTAAATCAAAAAAGCATACTAATCTGTTCACTTTCATATTGTTTACAATACATTTTTTTACATTTTAAATTGACAAAACATACTTGAAGTTGTCATAAGACTCATAACAAATTATTCTAACAATATCTATTACATACATGTCTTTTGCAGTTCGGTATGTATGGCATTGCCCTAAAGGTGAAAGTTGTTCAAATGAGAAGGAAATGAGTAATTGTAGAGTAAAAGTGTGACGTGTCCATTCCACCAGCAGCCGGTACTCTAGCCCAGGAAAGACATTTGGCGACGGTAACCCCCATGTTTGACTACACTCATGTTACTATAATATCGTCGTACCTTCTCGGATGCCGGATGCCGGCACCGAACCGACACATTCGCCGTCATGCCCTCTCTTATGCGGATGATATTGTACCTGTTTCCACCTGTCTAATTGCGGCATTAAGTATTTGCTGATTTTCTAACAGCTATGTTTATTTATTTGGTTATAATGTGTGCTTGAGAAAAATGACAGGCACCAACTGGCAGTATAAAAAGTTGAAAACGGACATGGTTAGAATTTTGTTTATGTTAAACAAGCATCTGCAAGAAAACTACAGCGGTCCATCTCGTATCCGAGAGTAGGTGTAAGAATAAAAGGGCGGCAGATGCTAGTGCCATCTGTGTATTAGCGAGCGCACCCGTTGTGCGCATCTCCAGCGTTGTCAAGAACTAGGACGCTCAAAATCCCAGACGAGCGTTGCTAGAAAATCAGTTATTGAATCGAGCCCCCATTTTACGTCTTCTTTTTCGGGCCCCTGTCTCGCAATGTTATAGCATCCTAGAACACGCGCCGCCGTAACGAGCAGAAAGTACACATGCCACTCTCGTACCGCTATGGGCTCCAAAAATCGCCGGTGTACCCAGCTGTTGCAGACCCAGCAAAAAGCCCTGCACACCAGCAAATGCGCAAGACAGTTGCGCACAGCTGACCCAAATTTGAATGCCTACATGAACTACGCATGGTATAGCTCGATTTGTACAGTGCTCGCGTCCCACCCCGCTGACCCAGGTTCAATGCCCAACAGGGGATGATTTATTCTTACTTCAAAGTCAGCGAACACACGATTAGAAAAGGTTTCTGACATATTTCGAAAAGGTTTGGAGTAGATTTAGAGAACGGTTTTGGAGAAGGTGTGGCGACAACGAGAGCAATATGCATTTCATGCTAAAAATGGACACCTTCCTGACTCTAATAGTTTATTTTGCACTTACATTATACAAAATGCAACACTCTGCAATATTGCCCGCTATTTCTGTAGAAGACAGCCCTCCTCTTGTACCCGAGGCGTCATTTAACTTTTTGGGTATGGTTACACTTACTGCCGAAGATAAGATTTCTCTCGTCCCCATCACGCAACCGTGATCTACTTGAAATAGTAAGAAAACGGACTTTCAAATTTCCACAGGGGGAATCACAGTACGACGGAAAAGAACCTGGCAATCAGACGTCCTGTGCCTTGACAGATTAGAGGGCACTGCTGGCAATTTGTTTCCAAACTACTATGGTGTCCCATCAACTAGAAATGTGGAACTGTGACGTAATGTCATTGGTACGACACTTAACATTTTTGCTCGTAGTTTCTGTGGTTGTCCCATGACATCCAAACTACTAAGATCATTAAAAAGAGTACTAGGTGTAAGTGTCAGAGTTGTAAATACAATCGTGTCTCTTTAATAGGAAATTCCCCAGAGAAAATGTTCATAATAACGAATCAAGGTAGCCCTGTCCATTTATGCTTCGTTGTCTTCTTTTCCGCTTTCGAACCGACCACAGAGACCTCCAGCCTTGCATGTGCTCAGGTTAGTGCTATGATTGTAACCTAATTTACACTAATGGAGTCAGAAAAAACCCTTCTGACCCATCTAAATTTGTCTTCGCTGTTTGTCTGCTCTCTCTTAAGGCCCAGGAACAAATACTGTCTTTGGTGGAGATCGCCTGCTAAGAGAGCTCAGAAGTAGCTTTAAGTGAAGCCTTCCTGGAACAACCATTGCTAAGCAACTCGGGGCATGTTTAGCAAACCTCCACATTTTCCCCTGATAGCGTTTGCCAATTGCCTCTGTGCATCTATTGTTTTTGTGTGTCCATTCGCAACTTTCAGCGATAGTGGTGCAGCGGTGTGAGTCATGTTCCCTAGCTCGTGGAGGCTAGATTGCCAAATAAAGATTCTGGCCAGCTCTTCTTTCGGGCAAAATTATATTGCATATGTCTCATATATTTGCATCACTTGTGCGTGGAGCCTGGCCACGTTCTGGTTCATACAAATGACGGCCATTTTAACTGGTGCCAGCACACCCCCTTTAGACCGTGAAACTTGCAAATAATTCCAATGCGAATAGTTCCAGCCTGTTTAGAGAGCAGATTGCAGCCAGAAATAAAAACCCAAGTCCCTATGTATGTTTGGATACAGGTAGGTGAGTTCAGATTGCTGTAGGAACAACCTATATATAACAACTGAGAAGTTAGGAATAAGGAAAAAAAATGGCTGTATAAACTTTAGTTCATATATGCATGCATTTCGTTTTTACAGAGCTGGACCAGGAGGATACCATTGGACTGTTAATGATGTCCGAGACTTGTGACGGGTTCAGGTCATGGGATCTAAGGACTGCTGAGATGCAGCTGCAGATCTAATCCACAAGGTGACAAGGAGATGGAAGTTCAAGCAGTGAATCTGGAAGGACGAGAGCTGTCTGCTAGTTCTTCACAAAACAGAAAACAATGCATTTATTACGCAATGCTTTCAGAGCCTCCTGTATTCATATCATGGATGGTCCTGATGTCCCCGTGAGTCTAAAGCAATGAAAAGAAAGGCCACCATCTGAAAATGAAACTCATTGACAAGTTCTTTGCGGAATTTGTGAGAGTGACGCTACAAATGGTCGCTTTTTTGATGTGCGATAATGAGTAGGCTTATCCACTCGCATCAAGCTTTACCGCCCGACACCTGCGTTCTCAGGTGAAATTGTGCTCTTGTGTGTAAAGCTTTATTGCTTTGCACCGGAATGCGTGCAGAAGCTGTGGAGCATCAGTTAGCTCAATATTGCTCACAGTTATGGCTCTTTGGTTACGAGTTATAGATATGGGGGACCCTTAAAGGGATGCTGAAGCGAAATTTGAATTTCCCAAAACACGCGGCAAAAGCGTGCAACGGGATGCTACAAACACCAAAGCATCCCTCAATCGGCGATATCTCGAACGGATGACCGTATTGTAAAAAAAAGAGGCGCATTTGGCAGGAATGTTGACGTCATGTTTTTCTGAGAAGGAGAGGGAACGGCCTCGCGTCTTCTCCGCCTCGCGGCCTTGAGGGAGCGAAGCGAAGGGAGGAGGAACCACGGTATCTTGACGTCACGCGCCTCGTCGGCCTGGTTCAATCTCGACCTCTTTTTCCAAAAATACGGCCGTCCATTCGAGATATCGCCTTGCGAGTAGTGTTGTAGGGATTGTAGCGTCCCGCCTACATCTCCTGCATTGTTTTTTTTTTAATGCCAATTTTCGGTTCACCATCCCTTTAATGTGAATTAATTGAACCACAATAGCACTTTTACTGTGATCAGGAATTTCTCCCCGAGATGTTGCTGCCTGCCATTACTCTTTTAAAATATTTATACATTATAGTTTGGTCTACCCCCAACTGATAAGGAAGGGGAGACGTTTGTCACTTCAAGCCAGCATGAGTCTATTGGAATGGAAAGCTTGATAATTAAGAGTTCTATAGAACATTTTCCACAATTTGGATTGAAAGCCTGATCCAACCCCAGCCAGCCACAAAATGAGGCCTTGTATTGGATTGAGTTTCAAAAATGGTTCTCTAAAACCCTCTAATGTCAAAGGCAAGCACCTGTGGCTGTTTGTAAAAATAGGGACAGCTATTCTTCCCTGTGGCACGACGCTGGTTAGTATTTACTGTAAACGACTAAATTTTCGCGAATCGCCTACGATTCGCGAAAAACATGTCCCACGTACAATTCGGGCAATATGTGAACGCTACGAAAGCTGCACTCGATTCACGAAAATTAGAACCCGCAAATAATTTCAAATTTTCAGCTTTGGCCTGATTCGCGAAAATTTGAGCCCGCGGAAATTAAGTCGTTTACTGCATAGCTGCTCTGCTTTCTTTGCCATTCGAAAAGTTACAGGCCACATTGGGGTGGCAGTAATTAAATTATGTTTTGGCAGCCCTCTTCCCATGGCTCTGAATGGCTTGGCTGCAGCACAAATATTTTGAAACACGTGCCAACAGGTGCAAGTTCCTCATAAAATAAATGAAAAGGCATGCAGGACCTCTCATATGAATACCTGCATGTGCTCCCAGTGAAAGTTTAGTGCACAGTCAATGTTTTCTAAATATTTCTATACACAAAGTTAAAGTTCAGGTGCCATTAGGTATTAAATGTTTATACATTTTGAGGTACACGTCTTCCAAATAAGGAAATGAAACATACTCTCATTATAATTGTCATGCCAACCTAGCTTCATAAAATACCCTCGGTTCCAACCAACGTTGTACTGAGCAGATGTGAGCTGCTTTTATCTCTTTTGTATGGTCGTCAATTTATCTGCTGGCATATGCTTTGTCTTACGAGTGCTTCAGAAGGCATATTTCCTGAATTTGGCTTGTGTGCCATCTTGTGCAGGCATATTCGAAATCTGTGTAGTCCAAATGATTGTATAAATGTGATAAGAGCGTATTGCAACATTGCAACAAATTGTATTATTTGGCAGCTGGTTGCAGGCTAATAATACCAATAAAATAGAGCTTCGAAACATTTGCGATGTTTTCCTGCATCATCATAGACACACAATAGTTTTGTAAGTGCCAATTTTCCAGGCAGACTTCTTAGACTGTAACACTATAGCACATGATTTACCACGGCAAGCTTTGTCTAAACTAAGTTGGTGATAAAGGAAGTGGCAGGCCAACACCCATTTAGTATGGAAGGAGCATGTATCGACCATTTTTAGTACTCGGCAGAGGCAGTAACTGCAGCTACGACCTCCATCTTTCAGAAAGTTGCCAGTTGCCGACGTAGGAGAAAGTGGCCATAAAACTACGCTGAACTAGAAAGCGGACAATACGCTTCTTTTAATGACATATTATTAATTTCTGTCACTGATACCCTGGTGAAATCCAATAGGTTATGTAAGGCTGCGCTAAGATAGGTTGTTGTGTGAACTTTTTTGCAAATCTGACCAATCCGACCATGTTCAGAGTCGCAAGTGCTCATTCAGGAACCCTGATCCTCAATGAGCACTGCAGTTTGACTTACACAATATTTTCCGCAGACAAAAGTACCATTCCACCCTAGAGTTTTTGGTTGGAACTGGTAGCATGATACACTTTCTCTTGGTGGAATTGTTGTGTAGTCTGGTACAAGGACCGACGACCTCAGGAAAACAAGGCATGCTCAAAATGATGAGTTAGCCAGGCAGCACCTCCTCACTGACAAACCCCTCATCAAGGCTGACGGTTTCGATGTTTTATCCTTGCAAGAGTGGTGTGGTTTGTCCAAATACCAATGTCGCGCATCTTGCACCGACACATTGTCATCTGGCATTTATCCTGATAAGAGTGTGCATGGTGTGCATATCTCCATGAACCAGTACACTGAGAAGCTTATTTTCATGCGGGTGATAAACCAGTCTTTTTTAAGGGATACTGTCCTGAAGGGCCGACGCATATTATCCTGAAGGGCCGACGAGCACGGAGCACCTGCTGGTGGGAAGACCCTCTCCCAGTGACCTTCTTTCCATTCCTTGTCGCACTCTTTTCTTCTTACCTGAAAGGAGGAAGTCTGGAAGCTGACCTCTGCCAAAAGGAGGAGGACTCTCCTCCTGTTTTGGATGAAAAGGAGAAGTTGAGGGGCGTTTTCCTCCTCTCTACCTGTTGGTCGGCCTAGTCCCTTCTTTGTTAAACCTTCTACACGACCCCGTCAGAGGACGTTGCAAGAAGGTTTTGGAGCTTGCGCGGGGAATTAGAAACAATGAAAAGTGTCCGCCAATGGGAAGCACGAGGAGGAGGTGATAGCACTGGACAGAAGTTTGCAACTAGACGTCACGGCTAAGTGGCATTGATGGCCATTACCATCATGCCTTGCGCGCCCCCTCCGGATAAGCAGTGAGCGTGCATATTTCAACATGCAGTCAATTTTGATATGTTTGCATTTTCAAAAATTTAAATAAATGGAGATGTTAGCCACTCGAAGGCATGACCGGCTACTCCATTACCACTGAAGAAAATATTAGAAATTAAACTTTTCAAACATAGATGCAGTGCATCTCAGCACCCACACACCCCTCTTCCCCCATTCCCATTCTGTTGTCTTGGTATCCCACAAGCTCAACATGCACAGCAACAGCACCGTCCTTCACAATTGGATAGTGGAACACTTCACTTGTTGCATCTGGCCCTCGACTCGAGATTCCCTTAAAGGCCGACCAACAAGCAGAGAGGAAGAAACTTTTTCTTGATTTCCTTTTTCCATCCAAAAAAGAAGGAGAGCCATCCTCCTTGCGGTGGAGGTTAGCTTCCAGACCTGCTCCTTTTGGATGAGGAGGGCAAAGCGCAAGAAGGAATGGGGGAAAGGACATTGGGAGAGGGTCTTTCTTCTTGCAGAAGATGCTTCGTGCGCGTCGGGCTTTGAATTAGTATGGTCATTATGCAGTCTTAGGTTGCCAGCCTGATGGTGACGGATGTTACGACATCTGCCCCATTTCCTCCATAAACCTGCATGCTACTGCACTATTTCTTTGTTTTCCTAGCTCTACAAAGATTGTTAATCATTGCTTGGCAGGAGGAGCTATTACTCCTTTGCTAGCTTCATGGGACGCACATTGGCACATGGTACCCAGGGAAGGCAGGATTTGGTACTGCAATGGCCAGCCTTTGATGCAGCAATGTCAAAAGGCAATGAACCAGGAATATCCCCCAGTCTTAGAAACCTCTCTCCTTCCGATGGAGAATAAATATACTCTCAGCAAGCAAGTGAAAAGTGGTGTAGAATTGGCAAGCCTCTCTTGGCTGCAACAGCAGGGAAAAAGGGGCCAGATAAGCAATGATCATTTAGAATCGGAAAAATGTTTATTGAAGACAGCACTGCTTGCTCTGAGCTTTTTACCATGAATCTGGAGTAGGTGAGTATATTTAATGAAAATTTCAATGCGGGCGAGAGCCTTATGAAGAGCTGCGAGGGTGAGAGCATCGGCTTGATGAAGGCCAGTTAGAGTTTCATATCTCCTTGCTGTGTCCGTATTTTTCCCTCGGGGCAACCCAGTCCTTGTTAATGTAAGGCAGAATGTGGTAAGCATTTTTTTTATCTGTATCTTGCACCTTAATAGGTATTGTTTAATCTCAAATACTTTTAATTTATAAATAATTACATTGTCAAAAGTTGTATCAAGATACATATCCAAGTAAATAAAAAAATTGAAAAAAACGTCCTACTTTAGGCAGAAATATATTCTTCAGAGTACCGGGCGGTCCAGATATCGGGTAGAGACCTAAATAAATCGCAAAAAAATTGGATATGTAAGCTACGACACTGACTTAATACATAAGTTTGGCTATGGTTTTATTTCTAAGAATATATAAACAGTGCTGACCTCAGTGAAACGTTACAAAACAAGAAACTTCGTATGCATTCCAATGAAACCAAAAAAGCATTGTTGTGGGCCACAGGAACCTTAAATCTGCCTAGTTTTTTCTTTGTTTTGTTATTTGTAACTTTTGATCGGGTGAATTCATCTCCCAGTTGGTCTTGTGCGGTAAATTAATGTCATAGTTCACAAATGAAAAAAAATTTCGATTTATTTAAGTCTCGGCTCGATATCTCGAAGACATTGCTC